TCTATAAGCCTCTGAGGGCTCTTAGAGTTCCTCCTCTTTTGAGGAAAGTAGTTTACTTTTTCTGTTTTTTTTCCTCTTCCAGATTGTTTGCGTGGTTCTGTCTGCTAGAGCCTGCCAATGGGGATATCTTAGACATGTGCATTATGATGTAGCATAATCTAGTGGTGAAGAACATGGATTCTGGAGACAGTTCAGACTCTACCTCCCTAATTTCTAGCTGTATGTGCACTGGCAAAGTTGCTTAACTTCTCTGAATCTCTATTCCCTCATCTCTAAGCTAATACCTATCTCCCATGAGATTTTGTAAAGATTGAAATAGATAATACAGGCAAATTTTCATCACATTTGTTGTTGTTATTATTATAATTATTATCACTATTGCTGCTCCCAGACAATCTGAAGGCTGCAACCCTAGGACTTTTATGCCAGGCATCAGGAGAAAGTAAGAGTGCCCAAGAAGCACACTATCTCTTTGATGTATAATAAACTTGTCCTTTCTAGGTGAGGAGGAAGCCACAGGGCTAGTCTAAGACTGGTAGAGCAGCTTTAGGTATTGATTCTGGTAGCAAAAGGTAAGAGTTCCCTTTCCCAGGATATCATCTGATCTATTGCAACACATAACATGGGCAGTTCACATATTCCAGAAGATTGGGTGTGGTTCCAAAATCCTTCTTGATGAGAATTTGGTCAGCTGGTGAAAGAATTCTGGACTCACCCTTTAAAATAAAAGCTAAAATGAGATAGTTAGGTAGTAGTAGGTATAGGTGATGAGGGCGTACGGGGAGGTATATGAGGTAGAGTGTGGGTGAGAGTGGATTTCTGAGGCCCCTGGGGCGTAGAGGAGAGAACAGAGTAGGGTCGCTGGTATCGATTTTAGTAGTCAGATTGCGTAATCCTCTAAGATTCACAAATACACGGCCGCTCTCCAGAAAGCAGTTATGTTGTGCATTACAGAGAACCCACATTTTCAAAGATGCCCTTCTAGAGACAGTGGTTCAGATGGGAAGATAGAATTAAAGAATCAGGGGAGAAGGTGAAAGGAGAGAGCAATTATATTTGGGGGCTTTTTTTTGGCAAAGGGAGATTACAGAATAAGGTGGTTATTAGAGCGGTAAGTTGTATAGCGTATAAAACAGTAAGACTGTCGGTGAGAGCAATTTAGAGTTTGAGTTACATGGAACATTTGCTCAGGAGTTGGCTTTCTTTTTCTTATCACCACCAGCGTCGTGATCATTATACAAACCTCTTATAGATTCTTATCAATTTTATCACCTTACACCAGCGGTGTAGGAGGTTAACAAGGCTTAAGAGCATCCAACCAAGTAGTGGTTAAGGTGTTTTTTTTTAAATGCAGATGATAATGGCTCCTGATTTGAGACATTTATTATCAGCCACTCTTTGCATGATGCAAATAGGTTTTCTAATTCATCAATCAAGTTAACCAACTGAATGAGAAACATGGTTGGAGCTAAATGTTTGGTTAAATAAAATAGCCATTAGTTGGACTGGAACCTTTGTTTATGTAGACTTTTTTTTTTTTTTTTTTTGTTTTTTGAGTCAGAGTCTCATTCTGTTGCCCAGCTCAAGTGCTGGTGCAGTCGGCCTAGTTCACGCAGCCTCACACTCCTGGCTCAAGCAATCCTCCTGCCTCAGCCTGCCGAGTAGCTGGGACTACAGCATGTGCCACCATGCCCAGCTAATTTTTCTATATATTTTAGTTGCCAATTAATTTCTTCTATTTTTAGTAGAGACGGGGTCTCGCTCTTGCTCAGGCTGGTTTCAAACTCCTGACCTTGAGCGATCCACCTGCCTCAGCCTCCCAGAGTGATAGGATTACAGGCGTGGAGCCAGCTGCGTTGCGCTGGTGTATGTAGACTTTATAGAGCTCTCAATAGGATCCTATAACGTGTGGTAATATAATTGTCTAACAACATTAGAAGGTATATTCATTATAATGAAACTGGTTGGGGACAGCAAGAGGGCTAAATTGAATGATAGTACAATTTCTCAATATTTAATATTAACTTGAGATACGTTTTTAAAATGAGAAAAGACTATCCAATGACTCATCACTGTCTATAGGCGTTGTTGAAGTTTATCATCCTCTGTAACTCATCTTAAATGAGCAAGATAACTTGTGTTTAAAGACACAGGAATTTCCCTGGTTAAAAAAAAAAAAAAATTCCTTCTGTTCTAGGAAGAGGAGTGAAGATGAGAGAACAAGCTCGGGTCCTGAACAAGACGCGACCTTGCCGCGTTTTTCCAAAAGTTCAAAGATGGCAAGTCCCATGCAGGACAGCCATAAGATGCACACGGAATACGAATCCTAAGCTAGCCAATTCAGCTTTGACAAGATTGCTGTTTCCGGCACGAAACAGAAAACATCAGAGCCAAAAGCCTCAGAAGTTGCAATGGGTGACAATATGGTGTTCGAGCAGTGAGCGAGTGTTTATGGTGCTGTGAGTGTGTGGGTGAGCGTGTGGGATAGTCTGTGATTCGCCAGATGTGAACGTATATCAGGCTTCGAGATAATGAGGAGCGCTGATGTAGATGTAAGGTGAGTAAGGTAGAGAGGCGATGTTTTGTTATGAGTATGCAGAGGTGTAATGTGAGCGTGAAAGTATATTGTTGGTGTGTGATCTATGTATAGGGTGTCCTCTATCTCAAAAAGCCAGGTGCTAATGAGTTGTTTGTGATGTGATGTGATGATTATTTATTGTTAGTTGTTTTTGTTTATTTATTATTGAGACAGAATCGCATTGTGTTCTGGTGATTGAGAGTGCGCTATGTCTTGTGATAGGTGTTATGTGATCTTGTATATCTTTGATGTTCTTTGTTTATACAATGCCATCCTGCTGGCTTGAGGTCCTGTCGTCGCGTCGAGTGCGTATCTAGAGCTGGAGTGCTATTGCTGCAATATTTTTTCTATATATATTAGCTGGCCAATTAATTTCTTTCTATTTTTGGTAGAGACGGGGTCTCGCTCTTGTTCAGGTTGGTTTCGAACTCCTGAGCTCAAACGATCCTCCCGCCTCAGCCTCCCAGAGAGCTAGGATTACAGACGTGAGCCACCGTGCCTGACCTACATGGATGTTAGATTAATGGGTAGCCTGTCTGTCAGGGTAGCAAGGTCCCTTTGCCCTGACACCCTCCCATTTCTGCTTAGCTTACCTTGGATTATATAAGTGAATAGCGCCTGCCCTTCCTTTAGCAATTTCTCCACTGGTTACAAAAAATTCAGAGATTTGTATAGCAGCCAGTTCTAACATCTGCCAAAACCTGTTCTAAATGGACCAGAGCCATACATCCTATGTCTAAACTCCCCTCAATCTTTGTTCTAGTCTCTAATCTCATTACAGGCAGAACACCAGTTTTCACTAGATGCTAAATTGCATGTCACGCAGTCCCTCTCTGAAATTTATACAGTGAAGGAGATTTGATTCTAGGTTAAAGGGAGAAAATTAGCCTCTGAGGGGGCGTATTTCTGAGGCAACCACTAGGAGATCAGAGTAGTACAAGCACTCTCCTCTTTTCCTTTTGTTTATGGAGAAGCTGGTCATTTCCTGATAGACTGCACATATGAAAAGACTCTACAGCTAGTAATTCTAAAATTAAGGCCCCTGGTGGGAGGCGAGGCACATGGATAGAAAGCACATTTTCATCGCAAGAATGCAGATTGGCTAGTCATACTAGATGTAATAGACGCTGCTGATGCCCTGTCCAGATTCCATTTACTGGGCCAGTGCATCCATCCCCTAGCTGCTAGGAATGTTGGCTGCTGAAGATTCATAGTTGTGCCCTTGTCCAGAGTACTTTGTCCAGGATACCTGGGGAGTTAAAGCCTCTCTCCCCTCACCGCACACTACCCATGCATCCTGGCTTGCAGCCAGTGGATTCAAAAGCCTGCCTCTGTTGTCTCAAGATGGGTCCATTCCCTAGTGCCCTTCATGGTCCAGTTTCTGGGCTCAGGCTGGAGCTAAACTTCCACTGAACTACATCGATGCCTAGTTTCTCCCTCTGTTCCATGCTGTTCCCTTCACTGCTATACAGGTTTCATCTCAATAAACCACTTTCACAAAAATCCTCATCTCAGACTCTGCTTTTAGGGAACCCCACTAAAGACATCAGGGTACTAATTTATAGCTCATCTCTGTGTCTATGTTCTTCTCTTTCCTTCTTCTTAATCAGGCCAAACATGTACTTCCTTGCCTCCGAGAAAGTTTTTGGCAGGACTTTCCAAGGTTTATTTTCCAAACCCCCAAGTCCATTGTAAAGAACAGAAATGGGGAGGGAGATATTTCCTTCACCCTAAAAAGAAAATCCTCCCCATCACCACCAGTAGAGGGGAAAAGAAAGAGGTCTCTGAGTCACTTGAGCAGATGGGAACTCTGGTCTGCTCCCCAACAGCCCAGGGGAAAGAGTAGGAATTCAATGTTGATGGCTGTGTGATACACCTGGGAGACTGGGTCCTGCCCAGGGTCCAAGCCTCACCAAATTCCTGTCCCCTCTATGCCAAACATGGCACACAAGCTGCCTAACTGACCCACTGAAAGGCTCATGGAAACCTGGATGACGGGTATCACAGCTATAACAATTATACAAAGGTATCCCCCCAAACCTTGGTAATGTATAAACCCAGAACCTTGGCACTACCCACAAATACCAGCGATAGGATGTCCTACCATCCTGGAGACTACATAGGGTTTTTTTTTTTTTTAGAAAATAAAGATGTCTAGTATTTCTTTGATACCTGAGGTAAGTTTCATACCTGCTACAGGAAAGGCCAGCAAAAGGAGAAGGTTGTGATTATTATATGATGGTTTTATGAAACGTTCCATTAATAGGATGTTTACAAAGTTTTTTCATTGACTAGTAAAAGTCGTACCCTGCCATGCACCTGAAAAAAATAATTACAGGACAACATATCCAGTATGACTGCAACAATGTTAAACACATACATCCACATTCTCACACAGAGAGGAAAGACAAGGAATGATAACTCTTGGTGTCTTATTTTTATTCTCTTTCTTACAGTTTTCTGTATTTTCTAAACTTTTTGTAGGCAGGATTAATGTTTTTCAAGTCAGCTGGTGTCTTTTCGTTCTGCTCTCTACCACAGGTCAGTTGGTATATGTAGTAGCAGGCACCAGCCCCAATCACCAGTCCAGCTGCAATCAAGCCCAAATGCTGAGCACGGCCCATGCTGGAGTAGTGCGAATGTCTCAGGGTGCACCCTCAGAGCAAGTTGGGGGCGGCAGTTGGAAGCTTCAGTAGAGCTGGATCTAGGGGAGGGAGTGTCTATGGGAAAGGAAGGAGGAAGAAAATGAAGCTTTCGGCTATTCCACCTTGCACATCACCAACCCACCACTGACAGACAGACTGACCGACAGACACAGACAGACCAAAACCAGAACCAGACAGGAGCCAACAGGAAACGATATAGACTTAGTGCTCAGTGGATGCACTAACATCCGAATGTGGGTCCAAACCCCAACCCTTCCCTGTTTAGGGTCCAAGTTGTCAGGCCTGTCTCTCACCTCACAGTCCCCCTCGCTTTGCTCCCCGATAACCACTTCCTCCCCTCCGTCTTCTGAAATCACTGACGCCAGCCATTCCTGCTGCTGGCATTGTCCTGCCTCTTAAAAGGCACGAAAGGAGAATGAGGCTGGGCTCCGGTGTCTCCGTGGGGAAATAGAGAAGCTAATTCTCCAACTTGAAAATTGTGTTGCTACCCTCCACCCCAGAGTCTCCAACGACACCCACCCTCACACCGACATACAGGGATCAGGTTTCCTCCACGTCCTCCTCCTCCTTTCTGGTCACAGTACGCTGCATCCAGGGAAATAGGGAGCTGGTACCTGAGCAGAAACCACTATCTGGACCAAGACTCCAGCACGTCGGCTCCTGGTCACGTGAGGTCACGTCACCGGTGAGTCCGGGTCCCAAATTTCCCCTCCCATTATTAACAAAATAGAGGGTGATTTGCCCCTCCCTCCCCGCCTTCCCTCCTGCCACCCCCACCATGCAGGGCACTGTGGCTTTTGCTCATTTTCCTCTTTGCACATGCAACACAATATTGTCTTTCTCTGACTACTGAAAGAGACAGCATCTTCTCCTTGGGCTACTGGCTATTTCTACTTCCTCTCTGGGGAATGGTCCCATCCTCTTCTCTGCTCCCTTCACCTCTTTTCTTTGGAAACATTAATGTTCACCTCTGCAGTCCTGAAAATACTCAGAAATGGGGATTGGGGATGTGTGTCAGGAAAGAAAGCAGAGAGTAGGAATGGATTCTGTTACTTTCTTGTTAACACTATTCTATTCCTTTATTTTTTTTACATTAACATGCATTCTTTTCATTATTGGAAAATATGATAGAACTATTTTTCATTCAAGAAAAAAGATTCACTTTTTTTTTTTAAAAAAAAAGGCATGTATCACAAATAATTCTCACTACATAATGACTTTTGCACATCACTCAAAACAACTTAATGTCTTCTGCATCTTATCACATGACAACACCCTGATTTGGCTAATCACTTATCTGAAACTGTACAAATCTAATAATATGCCATAACAACTAAACCTTATTTCTGAAGAGCAAGGGCAATTCAATGTTGGAGATCCATTCATTCATTTCTTCATTTATTCAACACAGGTACTAAGCACCTACCTACATGTCATGCATTGTTCTCAACGTTGTGGTTACAGCAGTAAATAAAGAAGACTTAACTTTCTCATCTCATGGTCCTTACATTCCTAAGAGATAAGCAATTAACAATATAAACAAAATATTTAGTATGTTGTTAGTGATAAGTACTAAAGAGAAAAAAAATAAAAGGCAGGAAAAAAAGATACGAAAAGTCAAATGAGTTGAACTTAGCAAGGGTGACCGGGGAAGGACTCACTAGAAAGGTGACCTTTGAGTAAAGAACTAAAGTCAGTGAGGGATCTAAGTATGGTGATGTCTGGGAAAAGAACATCCTAGGGAGGAGGACAAGCAAATGCAACAGCTCTGTGAAGGGAACATGCCCAGAATGTCCCAGGAACATCAAGGAAGCCAGAGTGACAGGAGCAGAGCAAGCTAGATAGAGAGCAATGGAAGATGAGGCTGAAAGGTAATGAGGTTGAATAGGGTAGGGCCTTGTCAGGTGTAGTAAGAACATTTGTATTTACTCTAAACAACACAGGGAGTGGGTGGGGCATTTGAACAAGGGGCATTTGAACAAGAGGCATGTGTCTGGATGTGTTGAGAATAGACTATAGGGAGACAAGAATGACAGAGAGACTGGTCTATCCACATCATTCATGACAACAGCAAACCAAAGGAGGAAAGAAACCTTACAATCAAAGCGTCTGATAAAAATAAGTCAGCCATTCCTAATTTTTTTTAAAAAAAGCAATAAAATAGGAATAGGAGGAAATTTCATTTGTGTAGTAAAGAATTACATGTAATTTTATGAGTCAATCTTGGATAAGTTAAATTCAATATAAAAGAAAATATCCTGGCCGGGCGCGGTGGCTCACGCCTGTAATCCTAGCACTCTGGGAGGCCGATGGAGGTGCTCGCAGGTCAGGAGTTCAAAACCAGCCTGAGCAAGAGCGAGACCCTGTCTCTACTATAAATAGAAAGAAATTAATTGGCCAATAATATATATAGAAAAATCAGCCGGGCATGGTGGCACATGCCTGTAGTCCCAGCTACTCGGGAGGCTGAGGCAGCAGGATTGCTTGAGCCCAGGAGTTTGAGGTTGCTGTGAGCTAGGCTGACGCCATGGCACTCACTCTAGCCTGGGCAACAAAGGGAGACTCTGTCTCAAAAAAAAAAAGAAAGAAAAGAAAATATCCTTAACCTGATGAAGAATATATTAGAAGCTCTTCTTACCTGGCAGATTCATCACTCCACTCCCTGTGGGCTACTAAGAGCACAGAACTTATGATTTGTCTCCATTCACTGATAGTATTTCTCTGTACTACGTATGTGTCTGTGCGCGTGGAGGGGGGGATGCTGGTAAACATAAGTGAAAGTAACCTTGAAAAAAAGAGAATATATCAGAAACAGCAAAAGTTACACTAAATGATGAAACAAAAGAAGCATTCCCATTGACTTCAAGAACAAGATCAGAAGGCTCTCAAGGAGGTCAATGTAATACATGCAGAAAAGGGAAAAGGGGCATAAATATTGGAAATGAAGAAATGAAAAATCATTATTTACAGATGATTATGTATAATCTGTACTTAGGAAAACCAAAGGTATTACCTAAAAACAATTAGAATTAATAGACAGGTCATAAATATTGGCAGATATGAAATAAATATACAATAGTAGAACATTTTCCCTTAAACAAAATTTCCTATCAGAAATTGTAATTTATAAAAGGAAATAGCATTTCAGCCACAAAGGCTATTAAATGCCTAAGAAAAACCTAACAAGTAATATGAATTCCTTAGCTAAAGAAAGTTATGAAATTTGATTAACAAATATAAAACTAGAATGGAGCAAAATGGAGTGTACATACCATATTCCTGGGTAAATTTCAATGTTAAGGTGTTAATGTTCCTCAAATTAATCTGCAGATTTACTGCAACTACAATACAAATCCCTATTGTTATTTTTTGGTTATTGTTGCTCAATTTGGAGCTTGACTAATAAGCATAAAGGCACTTACCAATATGTGCATAAAAGGAAAGTTGGAAATTGTTAGCAGTGGCTAGGAGTGGGAAAGGTAGAACAGAGTTCTTTCCCTGTATACTTTATACATTTCCTTATTGTTTTGAATATTTTTAATCACTAGCATATATTACTTTATTGCCAGAGCAAAAAACAAAATTCCTAATCTGGATATAGACAGATAGATAGATAGATAGATAGATAGATAGATAGATAGATAGATAGATATAGATATAACACAGATCCTCTAGGCCACTGTATTTGTTCTTAATATTTGGAGAAGGAGTCACAGACCCCTTGAGAAACTGATGAGTTCAATGATCTCCATTCCTGAGAATAATGCATTTAACCATACATACAACCAAAAACAAAACCTTGCAGGTGAATGCAATTTCAGGTGGTCCTCAGAGTTGGCCAGATGAGAACACCTACTCTGGGTTAATCGGTGTGGTCAGTGGAGATTGTTCTTTGGGCCTGGTGGATGTGAACTGTCAGGCAGTGACCCTGCGGCAAGCTAGACTTTTTCTGGGTGCCCTGTAGGTAAGGAGGTGAAAGGCCCTGGAGGCTGCACCTCGAAGACCAGGTGGTAGTAGCAGACAGTATTAGGAGCAACGTTGACCAAGCACCATGAATAAGGACAAACAGAAGGCAGGCCTGGGAGCTTCCTCCAGCAAGCACTTCTTCAGGCTTCCTAGAAATCCTCAGCTGCAGGGTCAGGTGAGAATAGCATCCATGAGATAGCCCTGAAAATTTGAGGGAGGGAAGGAAGGAGCCAAAGGCATTTACCCAGGTCCCCAGCTTGGTCACCTGCCCAGATATATTTTGGGAGTGACCAACTAAGTTGACCAACCTCCTGAATGGAGAGGATGAGAAACTCTGGAATATGGCAGGGGGAAGGGGGAAGGGGAGATCACCTTCCCCCACCCTCTCAATAGGGCAAGGAGGATTTGACCACCCTGTACCCTTCACACCCTTAATTTCCTTGGCCTCACAGCTCTTCCTTTTGCTGAGAGCCGAATCACTAAACTGGAACCTAATCTGGGGACAGGTGTTCAAAACTGTCATGGTTACAGCCATCAAATTACAGGAGGTTCACACAACAGTCAGCAATGGTTTGGAAATGTTAAACAAATGTGTTTTTCTAACAGAACAAGACAGAATCATTTATTTATCCAACTTAAAAGCTGCCCCAGAAGGAAAAAAAGTAGGATACTATTTGCCCAAAATAAATAAGATTGGACAACTGAATATCTCTCTGTGGATCACTTTACAGATCATATGGAAATACACTTATCTTGTTGAGAAAATTCCATTTTTGCATGTTCAAATACCTTAGCATGTTCTGAAAACTATTTCCTATGTGACCAATAAAATCCATGTTCTATGTGGTAAAAATTAACCAAAATTAATGGTGCTTCCCAATGAAAGTGAGATGTCTTTTTTTTTTTTTTGACAAAACTTGCCCACCCTTTTTTGTTGCTGTTTCCCATACTGAATTCTTGTTTTATTGGATTTTCTTACTATAAAAATAAAGAGTGGTGATCGTTTTAAAAAACAAAACAGAGGAGTATTCCAGACGTACAGGCCCCCTCCCACTCCTTGTCTCCTTTCTGACACTCTGCCCCTTACTACACTGGAGCAGGGAGAGGGACCCAGTGCAAGGAATATGGGCAGAGGGGACTTGGGGCTGGGGGACTGCAGGTGGAGAGAGGGAATAGTGTACAATAGGCGAGTAAAGGATGAGACAATTCCCCAACACAAAAGTAAAAATTGTCAATAGCCCTCCGAGAAGATGCAGCTCCTCGTCCGTAACCAGAGAAAAGCAAATTCTAACAGCAGGGAGATGGGGCTACTTTTGCCCTCCAGGACTACAAAGACAAAAAATGAGTGACAGGACCTGATGTGGTGGGGTGAGATGGGAGTGGGGATAAAGGAGGGGGCTCATACTCTCGGTGGGAGTGGAAATTGGGGACCCAAGATTACTGGCGATGCAGCCCTCACGTGACCAGGAGCTGACGTGGGCAAAGATACTTAAAGCCCTGACCGCCGTTCTCCGTCCTCCTCTGGGTACCAACTCTATCGCGCCGCGCACTGCCGCGCATTTAACCTAGGCGAGGAGGAGGAGGAGGAGAAAATTCCCCCAGATTCGGGCAGGTGGGTGTGAGGGTGGATACGGCCTGGGACCCCTGAATAGGGGTAGCCCAGGGATGCAGGCGTCCGAGGCCGCGGGTGTCTCCGCCTCGCCGACTGCTGGCCGGCTTTGCAGACTCCGGGCGCTCGGACGCAGCTCATTTTGGTGGGCGGCGGGGAGAGGGGGGCGGGGGGAACGAAAACACTGATAGACTTTGAGAAGAATCCGCTTACTTCTTCTCACAGCCAGTGTTTTCTGGTTTTGTTTTTGACATTCAGGCCCCGCACCCCACATCTCATCCTGTTTGGAGAGGAGGAGGGAAGAGAAATAAACGTGGCAGCGCATATAAGGCCAGCGGGGAGGTTGGGAAAGGGTGATCTGAGGGGCATGCAATTTGGAAACAATCTGGATCATCAATCCCACCCTCACTTTGCGGACATCTTCCCCTACCATCGCCTCCGCCCCCTCCCCTCCCCCGACCCACCCGCTGTGCTTTGAGGGAGCTGGGAAATAGATGTGTCAGCCTCTGTTGGAGAGATGGCGGGTTTGGTGCTGTCTGGGCTTCACAGGAGGGGGGACCCCGAGAGAATCTGGTATTAAACCGCCGTGCTAACTCCCAGACTGCTTTCCAGACACCTCCGGCCCACACAACAGTTCACTCGCGTCTTTTCAGTCCTGGAAAAGGAGTTCGGGTATGCAGGCGAGAGAAATGGCGGTTATCAGGGGATTTGGGTGGGGGGTTGAAGGCGGAGCCGGGAGCGGAGAAATCGTGGAAAATCACGACCCTGAAACTGAAAAGGCAGACTTTGGGCCCCTGTTCTTCAGACTTCTGCGGGTTAATGCTAGGCCTGGGGGCTGGGGAGCGAAGGACTGGCGATCCTGAGGGGGCACTAGAATTGTTTGGCAGGAATCTCCCATGCTGCTTCCCATCCAGCTTTCTCTGCACCCTCGCCCCGCCCCCCTCCACTTCGGTGCAGGAGAAGGGGTGTGGCGGTGTGTCCCGGAGAAATGGCGGACGGGGGCGGGGCAAAGCAGAAGGAGGGGTTGAGTGGGGAGCCTGCGCAGGAAGGGGGGATTGGGGTGGGAGGGGTGAGCAGAGTTGAGGGAATTGAGAGGTAGACTAGTTTGACGTTCTGGTCTGTGAAATACTAAAAGGCAATTACTGGGACTCTTGTCTTGGGTGCTGATCCATCCACCAGGCTCTCTGTCTCCAGCGTCTGCAGTCTATATTTCTGCCCTTCAGTCTGTCCTTAGGATGAAGCTCTAACTGAACCGAAGGAAGGAGAAACAGCTCCGAATCCTTAGAGGTCAGTTTGGGGGTGGGGATTGTCTGGGAACCACTGGTGTGGGTGTGGCTGAAGCCAGAGCAGAGGCTGGGGCCAGAGGCTTCTCCTCCTGCATCTTCTCCCTCTTTAAAAGACACCCTTGCCCCTGGGCCCTTGCTTTTTGGTGCAAAGAAAGGGGCGTGGCATCCACTTTCTTGGTTAATAGGAGGAGGAGGAAAGGCTAGGAGGAAAAGAGGAGCCCTGAGAGGAAGAAACTTTTGAGGCACAGCGGTTCAAATCAGGAAGGGAACGGGAATCCATCCACCAAAGGTTCAATAACGCCCTTTCCATGATCTATCCGCAGGTTTGTCTGCCTTTGGGGCCCTATACAACCACAGGAAAAGAGCAAACGAGTCTTGATCCCAGCAGATTGGTATGTGCATGAATACGATGTGGGGACCTCAGAGTGGGGAGCTGGGGCATCAGAGCAGAATCTGACGTCTCTACTGTTTTTCTCGCTCTCCACCCGCTTACCCCACGTCCCTACTGCCTCTCATTCTCCCACTTAGGTGCTGGGAAGTTATAGGCTTTGGCATTGGCAAGGCGGGCTAGAGTTGAAGACACAGAAAACTGACCGACTAGGTCTCTGAATCAGCAAACTCTGCACCTGTGTCTGGGTGCTAGCCCTCCCAACGAGCATTGTGGTTCCAAACTCTCCTCTAAATAAGCCTGGTTAGACACGAAGTGAGCCAGAGCCCTTAAGCCTCAATTTTATCCTTTACCCCTAGGTCCTGCTCAGCTTGCAGCCTCTCGCAGAATTTGCAAGCCTGAGCTGAAGAGCTTTGTCCAGACGTACACACATCCACTTGGGCAAGCCAGTTCTGCATCCTGGATCACAAAATCACCGCAGCTGTGCCATGAGCCGTGTTCGGGATGCTGGCTGCGTAGCGGCGGGGATAGTGATCGGAGCTGGTGCCTGGTACTGCGTCTACAAATACACTAGGGGAAGAGACCACATGAAAAAGAGAATGGTCAAGCCCAAGAACCGGGGTGTGGCTGGGACTGGAGCCAGGGCTAGAGCTGGGCTAAGGGCCGGATTCACAATTGACCTTGGGCCAGGATTCAGTCCCCCAACCCCAGTCGGCGCTGGGGCAGAGGACAGAGCCCAGGATGAAGCCTCTCTTCCGGAGGCAGCTGGAACTGAGGCAGTGGCCCCAGCTGCATCCAGCGCTGAGGTTCAGAGTGGGGCAGGAAGTCAGGCCCCAGAGGCAGATGGGGCCGGGATTGGGCCTAAGACCGAGTCAGTGGTTGGGGCTGCAGTGACTTCTGCAATAGCACCACCTCCCAGGGTGGCAGAGGCTCCCACAGCTTCAGGGACCCCTGCAATGACAGGGACTCCCAAAGTGGCAGAAGCCCCCAGCACAGCAGAGACTCCCGGGGCAGTGGCACCTCCCAAGGCAGTGGCGCCTCCCAGGGCAGTGGCGCCTCCCAAGGCAGTGGCACCTCCAGGGGCAGTGGCGCCTCCCAAGGCAGTAGCGCCTCCTGGGACAGTGGTACCTGTTGGGACAGTAGCCCCTACTGAGGTAGCAGCACCCATTGAAGCAGCCGAGGCCCCCAAGGTGGCAGCGCCTACAAAGGTGGCAGCACCTACAAGGGTGGCAGCGCCTACAAAGGTGGCAGCGCCTACAAAGGTGGCAGCGCCTACAAAGGTGGCAGCGCCTACCGAAGTGGCAAAGGCTCCAGGAGTGGCAGTGCCTCCCGAAGCAGCTGAAGCTCCTGTGCCCACAATGCCTACTGGGGCAGCAGCACCTACTGGGGCTGCAGAGGTTCCTGGGACTTCAGGGTCCCTTAGAACAGCGGCAGTTCCTGGAACAGCTACTGCCAAGAAAGCAACCCCTGGGGCTCACACTGGGGCTATACCTAAGGCCGGGTCAGCAACTGGAGCTGTACCCAAAGGTGGAGCCAAAGGTGGATCCAGGTCCCGGAATGGGGGCAAGGGCAAAGGCAAGAAAAACAAGGTTGAAGTAGATGAATTGGGAATGGGCTTCCGCCCTGGAGATGGGGCTGCAGCAGCTGCTGCAGCCTCTGCTAATGGGGGACAAGCTTTCCTGGTGGAGGTCCCTGACTCTGAGGAAGGGGAGTCTGGATGGACTGACACAGAGTCGGATTCAGACTCTGAGCCTGAGACCCAGCGCAGAGGCAGGGGGAAAAGACCTGTTTCCATGCAGAGGCGCCCATTTCCCTATGAAATTGATGAGATTCTAGGTGTCCGAGATCTCAGGAAAGTCCTTGCCTTGCTTCAGAAATCGGATGATCCTTTCATCCAACAGGTAGCTTTGCTCACCCTGAGCAACAATGCCAATTATTCATGCAACCAGGAGACAATTCGCAAATTGGGAGGCCTCCCAATTATTGCAAACATGATCAACAAAACTGATCCTCACATTAAGGAAAAAGCCTTAATGGCCATGAATAACCTGAGTGAGAATTATGAAAATCAGGGCCGGCTTCAGGTATACATGAATAAAGTGATGGATGATATCATGGCCTCTAACCTGAACTCAGCAGTACAGGTAGTTGGACTAAAATTTTTAACAAACATGACTATTACTAATGACTACCAGCATCTGCTTGTCAATTCCATTGCAAACTTTTTCCGTTTGCTATCTCAGGGAGGTGGAAAAATCAAGGTTGAGATTTTGAAAATACTTTCGAATTTTGCTGAAAATCCAGATATGCTCAAAAAACTTCTCAGTACCCAAGTGCCAGCATCGTTTAGTTCCCTCTATAATTCTTATGTGGAATCAGAAATTCTTATTAATGCTCTCACTTTGTTTGAGATCATCTATGACAATCTCAGAGCAGAAGTCTACAACTACAGAGAATTTAATAAAGGTTCCCTGTTTTACTTATGCACTGCATCTGGAGTGTGCGTTAAGAAAATTCGAGCCTTAGCAAATCACCATGACCTCTTGGTGAAAGTGAAAGTTATAAAACTAGTGAACAAATTCTGATTTGGCTATGTGTTCTCAAAAAGACTTGAAGAAATTTCTTGGTTTTTGCAGTCTGGAAGCATTGAAAATTGAAAGTTACTGCTTTTCCACTTGTTCATATAGTAAAGGGATCCTTTGAGCTGCCAGTTTTGAATAATGTATCATCCAGAGTGATGTTATCTGTGACAGTCACCTGCTTTAAGCTGAACCATTTTATGAATACCAAATAAATAGTCCTCTTGTACTGAAAACACATTTGTGACTTTAATCGTGCTGCTTGGATGGAAATATTTTTACTGATTCCTCTGTGACTTGACAGTGAACCTGTCCATCATGAATGGCCTACTCTTCTATTATTTGTTTCCACTTGAATTTATCCACCAAAGATCTCATTTGTGTATCATCAATAAAGTTGTATGTTTCAACTGACAAAAAAAATTGTTCTCATGCTTGAATTTAAAACCTAGCTGGAGAGATAAGGTACACAAACACAGAAGGATTGCTAACAGTACCCTGGCATATGTTCATTGTCAAATATATGCTATCTAGTTAAATGAAGCAGAGGTTGCTGAGAAAGCTTCACACTTAAGGGCACACTTAAGCTGGGCCCTGAAAGACAGCATAGAAGGGCATTCCAGAAGGGGAAAATGGTTTGATGAAAGGCATGGAGGTGGGAAATCTGCTCCTGTGATAGGAAAGAAGCCAGTGTGGCTGGAATAGAAGCCACGGGAAGAGGAGTGATGAGAGATAAAGGTGAAAATCCAGGGTGAGAAAAGTTTGAGGAAGATCCTGAACCCCAAGCTGAGATAATGAGACATTATCCTGTCATATTTTGGGAGTCACTGGACATTTTTGACAAATGGAAAAATAATCTGGTGGTAATGTGCAAGATGGATTGGAGTTGGGGTGGGGTTAGGGGTGGAGACTGGAAACGAGGACACTTGTTAGAAAGTTAGAATAAACCAAGCATGAGATGATGTGGGGCAAAACGGGGTGGCAACTAAAGGAACTGTTGCGGTATGATAGTAATAACAGACTCTTACAAAAAAAAAAAAAAGAGAAAAAACCCAAAAGGACCAAGATCTGCTGTTTGACACTTGGTTGTGGGGCAATAAAGAGGAAGGACTGTGTGACCCAATATAGGTCCTGACAGGGAAAGGCCCTCTTTGGGGGGCAACTGTGGGGACAGCGCAATGGCAAAGTGAGTCACCACTTAGAATGAGAAAAAGCAATGTGGCAGAATGAATGATTCTTAGCACAGACCGGTGGTTGGTTCCTGGGGTTAAAGGTCTTTTAGAATGGGGCAGTAGTGGGGCCCTTATGGGAGTCCCCATCCAGTTCACTTAAGAGCAGGTGTACAGGCCAGGCGCGGTGGCTCACGCCTGTAATCCTAGCACTCTGGGAGGCCTAGGCGGGAGGATCGCTCAAGGTCAGGAATTCGAAACCAGCCTGAGCAAGAGCGAGACCCCGTCTCTACTATAAATAGAAAGAAATTAATTAGCCAACTAAAATATATAGAAAAAATTAGCCAGGCATGGTGGCGCATGCCTGTAGTCCCAGCTACTCGGGAGGCTGAGGCAGCAGGATCGCTTGAGCCCAGGAGTCTGAGGTTGCTGTGAGCTAGGCTGATGCCAAGGCGCTCTAGCCCAGGCAACAGAGTGAGACTCTGTCTCAAAAAAACAAAAACAAACAAACAAAAAAGCCTTCCTTCCCTCTCTGGCACACCAATGCAATGAAATATGAAAATGGGAGGAGTCCCAGAGATTTTTCCAAACCCAGCCTGCTTTCCTGAAACCCCTCACAAAGTCATTTTTGTGTAAGTGTATGGTAGGCTGTGGCAGGGATAGAAATAGGGACTCCTGGGAGGAGAATAGAAAAGGGAAAGATAGATAGCATATAGAGAAAGAAAGATAGCATATAGAAAAGGGAAAGATAGGCCTTAGATATTGATACAATTTATCTGGAGAGCAATTTGGTAATATTCATAAGAAGCTTGAAATATCTCCCTATCCCTCAGCCAAGTATTCCACTTGGAGGTTTTTTTCCTAAGAAAATAATCAAATAAGTATACACTGAGGAATATACTACGCTGTTAATTTCAACACTGTTTCTGAGAGAGAAAAGCTAGAGGCAACTTAAATATCTAACACTATAGAATTGGCTAAACAATAGATAGTATGTCCATGAAGTAAAATGCTACACAACTGTTAAAAGTAAGAGATCAGCCGGGTGCAGTGGCTCACGCCGGTAACCCTAGCACTTTGGGAGGCCGAGGCAAAAAAAGAAATGTTTTAAAATATATCATTTTGTTAATATCCATATTCATAGATATAACTTAGTATGCAATAATAACAGGAAAAAACTTTAACCAGGATATTTGTATCTTTATTTTTATTTCAAAATATTGGGGTACAAACATTAAGGTATATATATTGCCTTTGCACCAATTTGAGGCATAGCTACAAATGTGCCCATCCCCAGACAGTGCATACCAACCCATTAGATGAGATTACCCATCCCCGCCTCCTCTTCCTCCTGCCAGACACCCAAAGAATGCTACTTGCATATGTGCACATTAAGTGTTGATCGGTTAATGCCAATTTGCTGGTGAGTACATGTGGTACTTGTTTTTCCATTTTTGTGACACTTCACTTAGTAGAATGGGCTCCAGTACCATTCAGAATAATACAAGAGGTGTTTAATTAACCATTGATTTGTGGCTGAATAGTACTCCATGGTATACATATACCACATTTTATTAATCCACTCAAGTATAGATGGCACTTGGGTTGTTTCCGCATCTTGCAATTGTGAATTGTGCTGCTATTAACATTCAAGAGCAGATGTCTTTATTATAAGATGGTTTTTTTCCTTTGGATAGACACATAGTAGTGGGATTTCTGGATCAAAAGGTAGCTCTAGGCGACTTCCAGGGCCCGCTGCTCTTGGGCCCCAGAACCTCGTCCAAAAAAAAAAAAAAAGGTAGCTCAATTTTAGTTCTTTGAGGTTATCTGCATATTGCTTTCCATGGAGATCATACAGTCTGCAGTCCACACAGGAAGAATAATAAGAGTAGAGACTTACACTACTGGATAGTAACATATACCATAAAACAGGGTAACAATAGCTACACTGCAGTAACATATGAACCACAAAAAATCTCAGTAAAATAAACAAAGGTTATTTCTTGCTTACGTAAAACTTAATAAGGATTAGGCAGCTCACAGTCTTCCATCCATTATTCAGAAATCCAGGCTTCTTCCATCTTATGGCTCCTCCATCTCAACACAAGGCCATTTACACTGCTTTTTTTTTCTTTTTGCCATAATACTATTTTTTTTTTTTTTATCAACATATTATACAAATATGTTAGGTTACGTATATTCCCTTGCCCATCCGAGTCAGAGCTTCACATGTCCATCCCCAGACGGTGCACATCGCACTCATTAGGTGTGTATACCACAGCCCCCACCTCCTCCCATCTGCCCTACGCTCGATGAATGTATTACTATATGTGCACTTAAGTGTTGGTCAATTAATACCAATTTGCTTGTGAGTACATGTGGTGCTTATTTTCCATTCTTGGATACTTCACTTAGTAAAAGTCTCTAGCTCTATCCAGGATAATACAGGAGGTGCTACAAATCCCATTGGTTTTGTGGCTGAATAGAACTCCATGGTATACATATACACATTTTATTAATCCATTCATGTATTTCGATGGGCACTTGGTTGCTTCCACATCTTTGCAATTGTGAATGTGCTGCTATAACCATTTGAGTGCAGATGTCTTTTTAAGAATATCTTTTTTTTTTTTTTTTTTTTTTTTTTTTGAGACAGAGTCTCCTCTGTTGACCAGGCTAGATGAGTGCCGTGGCATCAGCCTAGCTCACAGCAACCTCAAACTCCTGGGCTCAAGCAATCCTTCTGCCTCAGCCTCCCGAGTAGCTGGACTACAGGCTTCACCACCATGCCCGCTAATTTTCTATATATATAGTTGGCCAATTAATTCTTTCTATTTATAGTAGAGACGGGGTTCGCTCTTGCTCAGGCTGGTTTCGAACTCCTGACCTCGAGCAATCTGCCCGCTCAGCCTCCCAGAGTGCTAGGATTACAGGCGTGAGCCACCACGCCCGGGCTTTTTTATAGAATATCTTTTGGTTCTTTTTGGGTAGATGCCCAGTAATGGGATTGCTGGATCAAAATGGTAGATCCACTTGAGGTATCTCAAGTAGGTAGATCTCTCTGAGGTATCTCTATTTGCTTTCCACAGGGTTGAACTACTTTGCAGTCTCACCAGCAGTGTAGAGTCCTATCTCTCCACATCCACACCAGTATTTATTGTTTGGGGACTTTTTGATAAAGGCCATTCTTACTGGGGATAAGTGAATATCTCATTCTGCTTTTGACTTGCATTTCCCTGATGATTAGAGTGTTGAGCATTTTTTCCTATGTTGTGTCAGCCATTAATCTACCTACTTTTTGTAGAAGACTGAAAGAGGATCCACGCCTTTCACCTCTCACAAAAATCAACTCACAGTGGATAAAGACTTAAACCTAAGGCGTGAAACTATAAGAATTCTAGAAGAAAATGTTGGAAGAACTCTTGTAGACATTGTCTAGACAAAGAATTTATGAAGAGAGACCCAAAG